TGAAACTCGCACAGGTTTAAATATGATTTAATTATTGGCGCAATTGGATTGGCCATACGAATTGACCTTCACAAACTCGCTCTAATATCACAGTAGTTTTTCACTCGAATCCCATATAAATGTAGGTTGGCAATTAAAATTAAAACCATAATGTTGTCCTCAACCTGATACAGTGGAATACATGTTAAAAATACCAATTTTCATTGCGAATATCTCAACAATAAGGTTGACATTTTTAACACGTGTTCTCTGTATCAGGTTGAGGATAGTATCATTTTTATTTCCAACTGTTAAACTATATTCAAGATTTGAATGAAAAATTATTCTAACATTAAAGGCTAATGTACAGGTTATAAATTATTATAAATTTCGGAATTATTCACTGTTATTGTCTTCAAAATGCCGTGGTGTAAAGTTTATAATAATATTCGAGATACTTATATATACATATTTAAACATTTGTATATCTCTTTTCATTATCTGTGCATCTCTATTAGATAAACTGATGCACAAATAAAGCGCTTGTCAGAGAAATAAAAAATAATAACTTTTTTTATCTGTAATATTTTGTATATCTCAATTTGGTTTCAAACTAATAGTGACACTTGGTGAGATAAATATGTAGAAACGTAATTTTGGTTGGTAAATAGTGAATTTATGACCCCTTTAATGCGCCACTGAAAATACGGCCAAATCTAGAGACACAAGCGTCTACTTTAAGCGTCGTTCATTCTCATTAGAATATTACGAATTGCGCTGGCCAACAGACGCGTTGTTTCGTGAAACGTTTTGAAAGGTACATACATCGGTAATTGATCGATTGATCAATTTTCGCTTTTTATTTGATTCTTTTTAGCGCACGTTTGTTCTAAGAAATAATGGGAAATTGGCCGTTGCGAAGGAACGGCGGGGATGTTCATTTGGACAGGTGTCGCGTCGCGTCGCGCCGCAGAACGGACGAGGGGCGGAAATTGTCAGCGGCAAAATTACGGGCGACGGCCGATTCATCGACGTCGAAACAATAACAATCGACGTATGCCCGACGATGCGGTAATTAAAATAAAATTAATTGGATTGCCCGCGCGCCCACTCGCGGCCGAATCTTTCGAAGGAGATGACTGCACTGCCGTAGGGGTGTTTTGTGCGTTATTGCATATAATGCACTGTTTATTTTGCACTCTCTCTCGCTCTCGCGCGCGCTCTCTCTCCGCTCTCTCATTGCCGCACCCCCCCCCCCCCCCCCCCCCGCC